GTTATCATCTATAGAGCTGCTTTATAGTGGAATTTGCTTCATAATTGATAGAATTTGCAACATTGACACTTGCTTAACTGAATTAAAACAACATTGAACTAAAATGAGTTGAACAATGGCGCTGTTTCATCTGTAGAGCTGCTTTATAGTTGAATTTGCTTCATGATTGATTAAATTTGCAACATTGACATTTATTAAACAGAAGTGAAGTCAATTGTGCTGAAAAAAGACACTTTTTTCTTCTGTATAGCTTAATTTATTTAATAATTGATGAAATTTGCAACATTGACACTTGCTAAACAAAGTTGAATCAACACTGAACTAAAATTAGTTGAATAAGGTTGCTGCTAACATCTGTAAAGCTGGTTTATAGTTAAATTTGCTTTATGATTAATGAAATTTGCAACATTGACATTTATTAAACCTAAGTGAATCAATGCTGAACTCAACTATGCTGAAAACAATGCTATTTTCTTCTGTATAGCTTAATTTATTTAATAATTGATTAAAATAAAAGTTGAAGCAACATTGAAATAAAATGAGTTGAATAATTTATTATTCAACTCTGTTTAGTTCAACGCTGCTTCAACTTTTAGGAAGTGTCAGTGTTGCAAATTTAATCAATTATTAAACAAATTACCCTATAAAATCATCTGTAGAGCTGGTTTATAGTTGAATTTGCTTCACGATTGATAAAATTTGCAGCATTGACATTTATTAAACAGAAGTGAATCAGTTCTGATCTCAACTGTGCTGAAAAATGACACTTTCTTTTGCATAGCTTAACTTGTTTAATAATTGATAAAATTTGCAACATTGACACTTGCTTAGCTGAACTGTAACAACATTTACCTAAAATAAGTTGATTAATGTTGCCTCTGTCATCTGTAGAGCTGCTTTATAGTTGAATTAGCTTCATGGTTGATGAAATTTGCAACATTGACACTTATTAAACAGAAGTCAATCAATGCTGAGCTCAATTGTGGTGAAAAATGACGCTATTTTCTTCTGTATAGCTGAATTTGTTAAATAATTGATTAAATTGAAAAGTTAAAGCAACATTGAACTAAAATGAGTTGAATAATATATTATTCATCTCAAAATAGTTCAACACTGCTTCAACTTTGTTTAGCAAGTGTCAGTGTTGCAACTTGTAATAATCATCCGTAGAGCTGCTTTATAGTTGAATTTGCTTCACGATTGATCAAATTTGCAACATTGACATTTATTAAACAGACATGAATCAATACTGAACTCAATTGGGCTGAAAAATGACACAGTTTTCTTCTGTATAGCTTCAATTGTTTAATAATTGATGAAATTTTGCAACACTGACACTTGCTAAACTGAATTGAAACAACATTGAACTAAACCGAGTTGAATAATAAGGGCTGCTATTATCTGTAGAAAGGCTTTATAGTTGAATTTGCCTCATAATTGATGAAATTAGCAACATTGACATTTATATAACTAAACTGAATGATCATTCAATCATATTAAGCTAAACTGCAACACTGTTGTCTTCTATAAAGCTTATCTTGTTTAATAATTAATGAAATTTGCAACTTTGACACTTGCTTAGCTGAACTGAAACCACATTTAACTAAAATGAGTTGAATAATGGGGCTTCTATCATCTGTAGAGCTGCTTTATAGTTAAATTGGCTTCATGATTGATGGAATTTGCAACACTGACACTTATTAAACAGAAGTGAAACCATGCTAAACTCAGTTGTGCTGAAAAAATACACTATTTTCTTCTGTATAGCTGAATTTGTTTAATAATTGATGAAATTTTGCAACATTGACACTCGCTAAACAGAATTGAAACAACAATGAACTAAACTGAGTTGAGTAATAGCGCTGGTATCTTCTGGTGAGCTGCTTTATTGTTGAATTTGCTTCATGATTGATGAAATTTGCAACATTGACATTCATTTAACTAAACTGAATGAACATTCAATCATATTAAGCTAAACTGCGACACTGTTGTCTTCCATAGAGCTGCTTTATAGTTGAATTCGTTTCATAATTAATGACATAACTAACATTGTCAATGCAAGGTTTGTGTTTAGGCTGTTTTTCTAAACAAAAGCTTAATTTGTTCCAAAATTAATAAAGGAATGTGTTTATTATGCTAGATTGCACTTTTACAATGTGGTTTCTAACATTTACCACAGTACCATCTTTTTAAACAAGCACAGCGGTATTATTCTTTAAAATACAACCACCATAGCATTTCAGTGTGCTAATGAACATCCTTCGCACTGTAAACATGCATTTTATAATCATTTAAATGAATAATTAAATCTTTTTATGTTTTTTCCACAGGTGTCAAGTCACATTCAGGTGCTGGCGCGACGGAAAGCTCGGGAAATTCAGGTGAAACTCAAGGTAGCTAACGAACTCTAATGCTAACCACCTGTTTGCATATTAGCAGCATTATCACTTAAGCATTTGTTATTAACAGCTCACAATCTGGACAGTTAAACTTCACTTTTTAAGACACTCACAATAGCTAGCAATACCACACGCTAGGCTAATCACCTGTTTGCATATTAGCATCATTACCACTTAAGCATTTGTTAACAATGGCTCAGATTCTGGACAATCGAATACCGCTTAAATGATCCAGACACTCGTATAATAGCTAGCATTACCACACGCTATAACTTTGTAATGTTCAGAAAACGTGTGCCCTCTGGCGCAGTAATATGAAGTGTTCTCCTTGCGCGCTCCTGTCTTTCATCATATGGCATGGTTGACCCTTTGGCTGGCGGCCATCTTGGCTCAGCTGTCCGAGAGCAGTGCTGGTCACACGGCTAACACTGACAGGCCTTTTAAATACGTTTCTGTAACTGAGAAGTGTGACGGACACACACATGGCCATATTTCGGGGTCTGCCAGGTCGGGCTGGAGAATGTATGGGCTTGTCATGCTTCAAGGACACAGCAGTTGCTTGAGCTCGCCGCGGACGACCTTTCTCTGCATGTGATTCAGTTCAGCTGGAGTTGAGGAGGATCTGAACAATCGCAGGTTCTATAGATGGAATAGCTGCGTCCCAAATCGCATACTTATGCACTATTCTACGCCATTTTGTTGTATAAATAGTGTAAGTAGTGCGTTCACACTGAAAACTATTAGTGTAAAAAAATAATAAGTGCACTTTAATTACCCGTATGATGCACTCATTCAGCCGGTAAAATGAAGTGTGGAATGATGGACACTTCACGCACTCAACGACTGCAGGTTTGCTTACGTAGCGGAAGGGGCGGAGCTATCAGACCCACATGTTAGATAACTTTATTTATTTTGGATGGTGAAAGCAAAATTCTTCTACGAGAGTGATTATAGCGCCTTCTAATATATGTATGTATATATGTATGTATGTATGTATATATGTATGTGTGTGTGTGTGTGGTCGTTTATATATGTATATGTGTATATGTATATATATATATATATGTATATATATATGTGTATGTATGTATGTACATATATATATATA